AATTTGTAACCAAGGTTGAGCACTCCACATACAAAATGTTCGCCGCAAACTCGGGATGATTTGTTAGCAGCCAAAGGTTTCCTTTTTCATCCTTCCTGTGGATCAGTAGTACCCATCACTTTCACCTTTCACTATTTTTCTATTCCATTGGGAAGAGAAACAGTTTAAACAGAGGTTTGCAGTCACACACATCTGATTCCCTTTTGCATTTATGGAGTTTGCAAACTTTTTCCGCATCCAACAACCACACAATTACAATGTCCGAATCCCAAAACTAAAATATGACAATATCAGAACCAGCAACAAAAGTGATATGGTTCAAAAAACTTGAAAAGACTGGGAAAACAAACATGGAGGTTTGATGCTCACGTTTTCGGAAAATCCTTCCCAGTATGTATTGCACAATGACCGGAAGTCCGAAATTCGTGATGCATCTATTATATCCTTTATGAAAGTTAGTTTAGTTAATCTATATGTTTTTTTTTTTTTTTTTTTTTTTTATTATTATTATATACATATATATTGTTTTAATTACACACACAAGTTAGAATATATTTCAACACATTTGTTCATACAAACAAGCAAAACATGCAATAATAAACACACATAATTTTGTCTGAGGCACACTACCTCAGAAACTCCTGTGTTCTCAATAAATGTGCCATGACTATTTGAGGATCTCTCTTACATATTTAAATGAAATACATAAGACCTTCCTAAAAGTGATTCTGAGTGATTTTTGGAGGGAAGGTTCAGCAGGTAAGGAAATAATTCATATTTCTTCCCAGATCAATAGTTACAGAGAATATAGAACACGGGGAACAAGAAAAAAATTATTTAAAATACAATTTCATCATAAACTTCTGTCAGCAAATGAGGATTATATTGATATTACAAACTGAAAAAATGTGTGCCGCTTTGAGAAGATCAGTAAAATGACATAAACAAGGCCCGACATTCACATTTGATTTTGTTATGATATAGAAGCTGATTTTCTGATGCAATACATCACACACTAAAGGCTGGTGAGGATGTCTCCCCTCTCCTGGGCACAGCAGTCACCCGTGTGCCACCCAAGAGAAGGGGGCGCCCGGAGGGAGGAGGGGGACGTTCCCACTGAGAAATAGGACGCTCGAGCTGGGACTTTCAAGCCAGGGGGACGCTTGAGCTAGTATTCCACATGTGGGTCTGGGCAAGCGGTAACGGAGAAAACACGGGCAGATTTTTTACATTCAAATATTTTTATTCTTTTATTCAGAAACTAGAGGGACTATTGAAATAAATAAGGTATCAGAATGTAGGAAAGAGTTACACTCCAACAGGGTCAAGTTAAACCTGTGATATTCTTTCAAGTTGTTGACAAAAAATTTAAAAACTCATGTCGGTAACAAAGGGAATAAAATATGCAGCACTTTTTGGGCAATAAATCCAAACAGTGATAACTCTTGGTTCTCACTTACATATCCTTAACAAACTGGTTTGAATATTTGCTTCATATAGTTTTCTACCATATGGTACAAGATTAGGTTGAAAAACCTCTTACTTTTTGAGTGATGAGATTTTTTATTAAGAAAGGTCATGGTAACGGAGGGAAAAGTAACGGAGGGAAAATTGTGCAAACAAGTAGAAGGTGCATGATTTTGCATAATTTGTCAACTTTTTTCTTCCGAATACTTTAATATTACTTCAAAATGAAAGGAAACTATTTCTATAAAATATGTCAGTCCTTCCAAGCTAATTTTTATCAATTAATTTTTTTTTTTTTTAAATCATTTACCTTCATTAACAGTTCAAAGATGGAATAACACAAGATATGATGAAATACATCCATTTATTTACATGATTTGCAGGTCTTTGAAATTTGGGAAATAATTTTTGTTCCATGTTTCATACATGGTCTGTTTAAAACATATGGAACTTTAGAACCAAAAATGGTACAGAAAAAAGGTGAACAGTTTCATAAACTAGAGTACATATGTATCTGTGAATACATTTTTATATCAGATTCATTAACTTGAATTTTTGGCCTTGCTGTTTACTTCTGCTTGACCGGGTCCATGTCATACCATTGAACATTCTAAACAAAGCAATAACATCTCCTTGGAGACAAGCAGGTGGCGGACTCTCCACCAGAGAAATTGCGCAGTGCACCTTTAAGATCTAGTAATATTTCAACAAGATTTTCTTTTTTATATCATTTTCTGTCTATGTTTTTTGGCAGAGGATCCCCTACCTGCTCGTCTCCATGGAGATATCGCTTACCTGTAATTTCCCACAGTATGACATTAAGTATTATCACTAATCTGACCTGAAAATTGGCCTGGTCACGTCACCTTGTTTCCCTGGATACGTTTAATTTTGTGAAACAAAGGACAAGGAATCACAGATCCAATAAAGACAAGAAGAAAGGAACAAGAAAAGTTACATAATGCACCTTTAATAAGTCAACAACATAAAAAATAAACCACTCCCTAGACAGATAATATTGCTTGACAATCTAAATAAATTAAAACAGTTTAGAATGCAGAAAAAAATCTAGACCAAATTGCTCAATAAAAATGAACACAATTGTAGTAAGATATTTTGAATTTGTCCCATTGTACAGCCCAAACGTCAGGTGAGGCCCTGCCGAGGAGACAGTGAGTGTTTGTGATGCAAATCCCTCCTGTGTTCCTCCTGTAAACATAAACAGGGACAGACTGCACCAGCTCAGATCAGGACAGAGGAGAAGTCGTCAGTAGTACAGGTTTATGATTTTGGATTTGGGGCGTATAATGATTATTTAATTTCTTTTTAAAGGTTGTATGGAGGATTTTTTTGTTTGTTTGTTTGTTTCAAATTGTCAATGAAAGTTTAAAATACCATTACAGAGATGCATCAGCCTTGTAATTATGATGACCAAAAAAAAAAAAAAAGAATGAAAATCTATCAACTGTGGACGTAGTGAGGCCAGATAAACATCAGCCAATAGATAACAAGACTACCTCATTTTCTATTGGCTGTTAAGTTGCCAATCAAACTCCCTATGTTTCTAGTGTAACTGACTCACGGCGCGCGGGGATTACGTGGTTTATGTAGCGGTTCTTAGAGGCTTTTTTAAACTGTCGCTTCCTCGCAATTCGCACAAAGTTTGTTGCGATGGTGGACGAGAATCCACGACCAGTTCGCCGCAAAAGAAAGTCAGTTTTTGAGGTCGCTGAAAGAAGAAGAGAAGGGGAAAAGGAGCAAAATGAAACTGAGGTGATTCTTGGAGATCTCTTCCACGAATGAAGCAGACAAAGGGTCTAAAAACTGATGTGTCGGTCGCTAAAGTATTTCTAGACAGGTCACTTCAACAGTAATTCTGAACAGGCACTGGCTGTAAACAAACGTGATTTCTAGAGTAAAAGAGGCGGGAGGAGGTGTTTCTACTGAGGGAGCTGTGGAGGAGGAAGGTGGTGTCACACATGCACAACATTTGAAAAAGGACTGTCGCTGTATTTCTCTTTCCTTAAAAAAACATCTATACAACCTTCAATTTGGTGCCATAATACCTGATGACATCACACTAGGGGAGACTCTACCCAAACTTTCTGCACAATTTATACTTAAAAGACAAATTTTACGGATACTTTAAACATGATTTCAACAAAATAAGGGTGTTTTCTTATCATTTTATGTGTCAAATAATAAACTCTGTGTACACTGGAGGAGTTTTGGCCTACTCTACATCATGGTTGCTCAGGGACATCATGATTTCCAACCGGGAATTAAAATTTGAATTGCCAGACAGGGAAAGAAAGAGTAAAATGTTTTGTAAACTTGTAAATATAATGATGTTATCTGTGTTTTAGTGAAATGTGTGGTTTGCTTTGAGGCCAAATTATAATAAAAAGATGTAACTATGTGAATATCTCTAATAATTTTGGTTATGGAATCTTTCCTGTAATGTATGAAAGGTGCATTGTGCAACTTTTCTGGTGGAGGGCCCATCACCTGCTTACATTTATTACATTTTATAGTTTTATAGCTCAAAAATACCAATAAATAAATAATTCAATAAAATTACATTCTGACAGTGAGCAGGATTAGCGCTCCACAGATCTGACGTGTAACTTGGTCAGATTTCTCCATGAAGACAGAAAGGTTTAATACCATACTGCACAACAATCCAGATGAGACAATAACACTTCCACGGAGAAAAGCATTTGACTCAGGACGGAACTGTACAGCTTACTGTAAGAAGGGTTCAAATAGGGTCCAGGAGAGATCGCTAGATTAGTCAAACATGCATGGATGACATCTGAAAACTGAAGTCATGTTTTTAATGAAGGAACTACATTATAGAGCAGTTGTTGTACTATTTAAATGGAGAGTGAATATTATCCGTGTTTTATACCAACGTCCTCCAGTCGCCGGTTAATTTATTAAGTCATTTTGATGATGTCCTCATCTTTTTTCTGAATCATCATAATTGTTCTATTTGTAATTTTTCAGAAACATTAAAGAGTCCATGTAAATGTCTGTGTTGATAGAATAACATCTGAAATAAAACTAACCTTGTATCGCATGAATCGTTGCATGTTGAGGGACTATTTTCTCATATATCAGTCCGCCGCTGCCAAACTTTCTATCAGGAAGTACAACTCGCTGCTGCTGCTCAGACATAAATCCTTCAAATGCAAGGTTGGTTTTACTTCTAAAATGATTCTATCAACACAGACATTCACATGGACAGTCTGGTGTAATAATAGATTTGCTTTGGGTGTTTTGTGGAGTGGGTAAGACTGTTTTTAGTGGCAGGATAACTATGGCCATTGACATGTGCTAGCCTAGCACCAGCGACCTCTGCAAATACAAGGACTGGATGAAATATTTAAAAAAGTGTCTCCACACGTCTCCAACTCTCTGGCTCACTAGGAAATGAGCTCCTATGTCTAAACTTCCCTTGTAGATCAGTAAAGCCAGTGTAAATCTTAACTGTATATCACTAAACTCTTTTCTTGTGTCTCTCTTCTCAGATGAGTGGGATGTGCGGACACGCCCCCCAGAGGAGCTCTCGTTCAGTGGGACTCCCCCTCTGCCCCAACCCCCCTCTGCCCCAATGCCCGCCCTCCTCTGCCCCCCCTCCCTCCTCACTCTCCCTCGCTCACCCCGGCACAGAGCTCCTCCTCAGACCCAGACGAGACGCTGACCGGGCTGCGCAGGTCGGTAAAACAAACGCAAAATCTGTACGAACCCCCAGCTCACACCACGACACTCTTCACATAATCACGCAGATTGAAATGGACCATATTACTCTATTTTCTGATCTGTTATAATGTTTCTTTATCAAAAAACATACCTGGAGTTGTGTTTTGTTGCATTCACACATGTTTAACTCTCAAACCCTGCACATTTAGACTGAGTTCTTCTCTCAAACTGAAAACACTCTGATCAACACCCTATATCAAGGTGTGCAGAATTATTAGGCAGCTTCTTTTCCTCAGGCAAAATAGACCAAAAAAGACATTTAACAAACTCTGTAAAGTCAAAAAATGTAAAAAGTCTTTCAGAGGGATGCAGTGCTATTGAAATTGTGAAGATGTTGCGTGGTCACAGAACCATCAAACGTTTTGTTGCAAATAGTCAATAGTGTCACAAGAAATGTGAAAGAGAAAAAAGAAAAGACCTAAATTAACTGCAAGAGATTTGAGAAGAAGCAAACATGAAGCTGCAGGAACCCGTTATCCTTCAGCTCTGTCATATTGCAGAATAGCTGAGTTTCACGTGACGTCACAGGGCTACGTTTGTCAGCGCGCGAAATCAGATGGAGGGCAGGAAGTGAGCTGACTGGAGGAAGCTAGTGAAACACTGTTGCATCTTTGTCTGGAAAATGTCTATGTGTTGTGTAGTTTACGGCTGTGACAATCATTCTAACTGAGAGAAGGAAAAGTGATTTTTTAGAGTACCAAAGATAGTCGTCCACAAAGGTCAGAAATGGGAAAAGCTGACAGAACAACACCGTAAAAAGGGGTCAGCCTTTATCATCAGAAGAGCCTCTAGTCAGAAAATATCCATGTTCAGGTAGTGTTACAAATTGTTACAAATGAAATTGTATTTCAAGTTTTAAATATTTTAAAAAGTAAATATTAAAAGTAATAAATATATTAAACCCTTAAAATACAGCAAAAATGTTTGAGAAAATAATGATTTGGGTGGAAATGGCTCTCTTAAGTGTAACAGGGTTAATAATTGTCTGATTTTCAGGCAACAACTTGCAAAATGTTCAGTAATTTGAGCTCTACAACTTTCATTTCAATTTTATTTTAAATCTTTTTCTTTTAATATAGCATTGGTGGGTTTGTAAACCAACATATTAAGTAATACTAGCCTTAGCTAATGCTGTTATGCATGATTATGCGTTTTCCTGTCAATATCTCTAAACATTTTGATGTTGCAGCCATTTTTAATTGGTAAACATCCAAAAGTTTACTAATTCTTCCCTGATATCCAGGGATTATTCCCTGTTGCTTTCATCAAATATACATTCAATTGTTCAAGAGAAATGTTGCTGACAAACCAATAGAAGACGGAATGATTTTCTGACTAGTGGGCTTTCTGATTAAAGGGCCTTCTGACTAGTGGGCTTTCTGACTAGGGGGCCTTCTGATGATAAGGGTGTAACCGGATTACAAACCTATGTTTGCGGTCGGGAGGAGCAGATGCTCATGTCTGCAGTGACCACTTCGACAAAGGTTTGTTACAAAGCTAAATTGTTTTTTGTGGTTTACCTAAACATAAACGAATCATTAATGACTAACGGCTAACGACGTTTGTTGACATTAAATAGTTTGGATAGAGGTTACTGCCGATACACTGCAGTTTTTTCCCATAACAGTCTATACACATAAAATAAGAGAAACACTCACCCAGGCCAAGACCAAACGATAATCATCATTGAGGCGTTTTGCACCAAGGTTGAGGACCCATCCACTGACAAAAAAAAGTTATATTCCTCCAAACTTTTGTACGACTTCATCTGTTGTCTGGTGTAGAACGATGTCTGGAGAACTAGATAGTTTGTGATATCCTCTGTTTTGATTGTTGATAATCTTTTACTTCGGTCGAAAATTCTCTCATTTTCAATAAGATGAGGTCACGTCCAATATATTTGTCGACTAACTGCTCGTACTTTTACTTTGCTACTGTGCATCATCGTGATCACGTGACTGAAACCCTCCTATTGCAACATACCTGGAGAGCCCAGAAGTACTAGTGTTCAGTGCACAGAGACACGGCCAAGGTAAGGAAGGCTGAAACCCGACCACCACTGAACAAGAAACGTGAGCTGAAACGCCAAGACTGGGCCAAGAAATATCTGCAGACAGATTTTTCAAAGTTTTTATGGACCGATGAGATGAGAGTGTCTCTTGACGGAGCAGTAATGGGCACAGAGCTCCACTTCGACTCGGAGGAGGTGGGGTACAAGTACGTGCTGGTGTTATTAAAGATGAGCTTGTTGGACCTTTTCGGGCTGAA